TCACCTTTGTTAGACAAAGTCAAACCCTAGCTGTGTCTGAACAAAAGGAGAGAGAGAGACAGAGGGACAAGCCTTTACATATATTGCAGGTCCTGTAAAACAGAGGAGACCCAGAGAAGCAAGGCTTGTATGGAGTAGAGAGAAGTGGGACAGGCAGTGGAGGAGAGATGGTGATTTGAAGTCATTAAGAAGCACAGTTTTTATAATTTTACAATATTTTATTATGCTACTGTTTCTGTTTCCCCTCTTATTGGAATGTCACCTTCCTAAGTTTCAGGCCTATTGAACTCTAGATTTATCCAAACTGCATTTCTTTAATGGACACAATAATAAAAAATTATACCACTAGATAAGCAACCTCTTCTCCCCCACCCCTATTTGTAAATGTTTTTCTTAACTCCCACATCACCAGAATCTACATTTGGTATTGAAAAATTGGCTCATTTTTAAAAGATGCTACTCAGGTCTGGAGGCAGGGAAGAAAAGAGTTACAAATTTAATTACAAGTCACTAAATATGTTATAAAACACTATCAAACTTACTTTAAATAATATGCTTTTCTAATAAAAACTGCACCACTTGTTTGCCTGAAGTTATAACATTATTACAGATAGATCAGTATTTATTACTATTATATAAAGCAAAGTTGGAAGTGTTTTACATCATATTTCTAAGGTTGCTTAAACATCCATATAATTGAAGATGCCCTGAACCATAGCATTCAGATCCAAATCTAAGTTCAGACTCTGACTTCCTACAAATTCCAAAGCATTCAGATCAGAAATTCTGATCCGGGCCCATCTATGCATGTAGTTTTGCAACAGAAACTACGATCTGTTGACTAGGATCCAATCTTGCAAATAACCATGTAAGTAACTTTACTCGCTGAGTGGTTGAATTGAGTTTAATGGGACTACTTGTCTGCTCCAGCTTATTTCAGAGGTCAAACCAGGCCATAGTATCTCCAGGAGTCATGAGAGTGCCAAGAGGGTATACAGCTGTAACATTTTAAATACATAATATAAAGGTTTTTTTGCATAATGCAGGAAGTTATATTATCTTGTACTGCTGCCTCCCGATAATGAAAGTATGGGATGACATAGTAAGAACAAGAGCAAATCTTGAGTAGTCTACAATGTTATCAATACAGCAAGAGATTTTTGTCATCGTGCATAGTTTTCCTCAAACTTTTAAAATATTTGAGTCCATTTTTAACATTTTAAGCTGCCTAAAAAAGCAATGTGTAGTCACCCTGCAGCAGAATCAGCATGCAATAGCCATCCACAAAGAGAAAAAGGAGCTAGAGAGATATTTTGGCCTTTGATCTAAATATACTGGGTGATGTACTGTAGAGTGTCAGGTAAAGGTTGTGCATGTTTTATAATACTGGGAGAGATGCATACCTGAGGCTGAAAGGGAAAAGGTTAGCAAAATGGAAAGAGAGAGAGAGAGAGAGAGAGAATTATGACAACAGTTATTATGGTAGGTGAAAATTGAAGGTGATGAAGAGGTTTTGTACTGAATATACAGTGTGTAAGACTGGTAGATAGTCAAGGTATATTAGACCAGATTCTGATCTCAATTACACTAGTATATTCTCAGCAGAATTTCACCCACTGAAGTATTTTCTTTATTAGAAAGTAGGTTAGACCATTAAATGCTCTATTGAATAAAATATTTTAACTGACAATCATGCATAATAATTTATTCACTTGTCTTAAACCTCAGTGGACCAGACAGGAGCCTTTCAAGAACTTTCTGAATTTATATACTTTTGCAAATGATAATGATCCTCTCCCCTCATACGTGTGTACCTCTGTTTTAGGAATATCTTGTGAATTTTTAATTTATTGTAATAATATAGAAGGCAGCAAAACAGTGTTCATAATTTTATTGGGTTTTATTTAGTCTGAAGTTGATAGGTACAATGCCAGTAACTCTGGTGGTTGCATTGAGGTTCTGTTGTCACTAAAAATAGTTACAGTTTCTATCACCATGCCTTACACAAAAACTGCATGCAAATGACACAGTGCTTTATAGAAAATAGACAATCATTTTATTCATGAGTTATGCACAACTAGTTTTTTTAGTTACTATTGATTTAAATCAACTACAGAACCTGAGAAGCTTAAATATTGAGTAACACTGTCTCTATAGGCAAGTCAAATTAATTGGCAGTACTAATCACAAGTTTTGGATACACTAAACAATATTAATCTCATAGAATTATAGAAAAATAAACATTTTCACATATGCACTTGAAACACACTGTAGTCCAAATTCACAAAACATTAAGCATGTAAATCACATTTTATTCCTTCATATTAGTTTGAAATGATGATGCCAATACAATTTACATCCCAGACATAACATTGTGTAACAGATACAGATTAAGTGGTCAAATTATCAATGGTGACAAAAACATCTGGAGTTAAAAATAATACAGCAAATGTAAGAGTTATAAAACGCTGCAAGTCAAGCTACTATACTGTAGTTAAGGATTTTTTAGTGGTTCTCAGACAACTTCCGTGTGAGGGTCAAATTCTGCCCTCGAATATGCATGCAAGACCCCCATTAATTACATGTACAAGAAGTAGCATGGTCAGCTGAATGAACACTGGTTTGGGAGTCAGAATCGTCCAAATTCTAATCCTGGTTCTGTTGCTGATTAACTGTATAGGCAATTTGCTTCACCTCTCTGTGTCAGTTTGCCTGTGTATAAAATAGGAATAATGATACTTACCTACATTAGAGAGGACTTAATGTTTGTATAACACCGCACTGAACATGTAAGCTATTATATGAATGCTAGGTATTATTAGTTCTAGAACTTTCAGATATATTTCATGGCATTGTGCCCACATAGGTACTCAGAAGCCATGCTCATGAGCATGAAATAAATGTCTAGAGAGAACTGCATGTAGAATATGGGGAAGCATATAGACTATCCAGCAAAACTTTACTTGAGGCAGAAAGTGGACACTATAACGCTTGGATATTAATGTGTATTAATTTACATTTTTGGAAAATGGGCAAGATATTAGGACTTCCTTTGGCTGTGAAGAACACAGGAGACCAAATAAAAGACTAAAGCAATATGGGGCAAAAATGCCCCAGAAGCAGTGGGAGTAAGCCAAGCCAGGATAGCATGTTTTCCCCTTCTTCTGTGCCTGGGACCCAGAGAAACTCTACTCACTTTTAGGGATAGGCGGTGAGCGAATAAAAGGAACAGCCATTTTACATAGCATATGCCTCTCAGAATCCAGTGGAAATGCAGTGGGCAAAAGGAGCAGGAGTTAATTCTCCACCCTGTGGTCTGCACTGTATCTTCTCCACAGAGGGGGAAAATAGCACAAGCTCAGTTGGAATGACCAGTAGCAACCCCACATATCCTTAAGAAGCCATGCTGCCAGAAGGGAGGAGTACTGGCCCTTGGCAGAGCTGTGGTGTACAGGTCCTGGGTCCCCTGCCTTCACTGTTCCCCCGTTTTTCCTCATGAGGGAAGGATTCAGTGACTATAGGAAAATCCCTACCATGGGTTTTAATGTTGCAATGGTGTAATGCGACCCTTAATAATAATAATATATGGAGATATACCTATCTCATAGAGCTGGAAGGGACCTTGAAAGGTCATTGAGTCCAGTCCCCTGCCTTCACTAGCAGGACCAAGTACTGTCCCTGACAGGTTTTTTGTTGTTGTTTTTTTGTGTCCCAGTTCCCTAAGTGGCCCCCTCAAGGATTGAACTCACAACCACCCTGGGTTTAGCAGGCCAATGCTCAAACCACTGAGCTATAACAACATGCTTATTAGATAGTTCTATAAAATAATAACTCAATCCCAAATTCTGTCCTCAAATGCGCATGGGAAGCTATCCCTAAATTCAATGGGAGTTACTCATGTGCATCCAGTGGCAGAATTTGGCACTTGGTGTCTTTAAAATTAAATTTTCATTAGGCTACTAATGCATAAACTGGACTCAAACCTGCTAGTTTAAAAACAACAAATTTAAATAGCCAAAATATCAAGCTATTGAAGTTTCTAAAGTGCCCACAGCACACATACAGTAACTAGATTACAGTTGCTTCATTTTGTATTAGACATTATCCCTCCTGGGAGCAACTGGGCATAAATGAGGCAAATTTGACCCCATGGAGCTATAAACTGCAAATATACCACGAACAGTCATTTGTTTCTGTATAGATCATTGTAGCTCTGTTTAGGTCAAATATTCATTTCTTTAAAAGTTTTTTTTTTTAAATAAAAAGTGTTTATCAAGAGCTTTTATGGATCTCTAAATAAATAAATGTATATTTAGAAGACTACCAGCAAAGATGCCAAGAGAAAATAGCTGGCTCAAGGTTCAAGTCCGGCCTATCACTCTAAAGAGTTAAGTCAGTACTGTTAGGCAGACTTTGTGTAAGGAGGTGATTGCCTGAGTCCAAAATCCCACTGTCATCATTGTCACTAAATGGCATCATTCTCAGCAGTGTCAGCAAAGGTCTGAATGGAAATAAAAACTGTATTCTCCTCACATACCTAGAGGTGGTTCCACTAGGGTCAGCATGAGAGATGTGGTGAGAGGCACGTTAGGGGATTTTCTCTGCTGATGCTAGTGCTGTGAATAGATGGAGGGGGGTCCTTTGGTCTCAAGGCCTATCAGGCTGGTTACCTTTCACTAGTATTAAATTCATTTTAATAAGATTAAATCCCAAATAGCAGTAGTGTTTACCAATATATCTGGCAAATTCCCCCAGGAGCTATGCCACACTGAGCAAGAAAACAATTTATTTCTGGTCCCATAACATCCAGCCCTGCGACAGTTGGCCAGATCCTCCTCGGATGTGATTACCCAACACACACCATGCTGTGATGTTGCAGGTACAAAGTAGTCATGCTGGAGCACTGAGTTAGAGTCACTCTTGTTATCCTGTGCCATGATTTTGCAGTAGCTCTATCTACTCTGAGGTGCAGAATGTGTGCCAAATACATTACTAGTTAAAAAAAAAAAAAAAAAAAAGGTGGGGACTTAACGTGAGATTCTGTGGACCAGCTCCATGTTCCAGCTGAACTCAGTGGTAGTTGTGTCATCTCAGAATGGTGCATGTCAGGGACTCACATCAGAATAGGATGGTGGTACTGGTTGTTGGTAGTTCTGAATGTCACAGGACCTGAAAGGAAAATAGAATAAGTTTTAAGATAAAAATGTACTTAATGCCCCTCCTAACTGCACCATGGAAATTTCCAGGGCATAACTGAGCTAAAGATACTGGAATGAGGTGCGTTGCCTCCGCAAGTCACCTTTAAAAAATAATCCTGATTACATACAATACTGCCACAATGGACAATAGTGAGGTATTGGGCTGGTCTCTTTAAGTGAGTGTATGCAGGCAAGATGAGTAAAAATTAACTTTCCACTGTTGTGTGGAAGGCACAGCAGGAGTCCATGTTTGGAAACCAATGTGCTGTAGGGAGAATGGTGTACCCCATAAAGGAGCAGAGCGGCGGGCATTCTGCCACTTAAGGAGGGTAAATATTGCCTTCGAGTTTCCCATAGAGTTGTGCAGATCCTCCCTGCCCCTCATTATGAGCTGTACCTATGTGTTACAATTGCATCCCTAACATTTTGTTGCTGCTCTTGATTTTTAAGGTCTAATATACATTAATGAATAGCCAATATGGTTTAGCACAGCTTTGATACACATTTAAAAAAATTAAAGTAGGTTGATATTTTTTTTTTCAAGTATCTAAATACAGACTTATCTGAATCTGAGGATTGACTATCTATTGAGTACGTGTGTTTCATGCTTCAAAAAATTCCTAATTAGTGCAACATTTTATTCCCTAATTGGAGGAAAAAAGAAAAAAAAAAAACACAAAACTGTAAAAATAACATGATTTTAAACCCATGAAAACCCATTCATTGCACAGGCTGCAAATCCATTCTGACACTATCCTTAATTCATCTGCCAAGCCCACCAGTGCATGTCTCAGTTAAGTGTGGTCTCATAAGTGCATAGTTACACACTATGTACTGTGGGGCTGATTCTCATTCTCTGGCAGCGTAAAGGAGCCTTAGCCTTTGTCTCCACTAGCACTTTTGTCAGCAAAATTTTTGTCAGTCAGGGGAGTGAAAATGGCATAAGTTTCACAGAGAAAAGTGCCTGTGTGGACAGAGCTATGTCGGCGGGAAAGCTCTCTCCCACCGGCACAGAGCAGCTACACAGGAGACCTTACAGCAGCTCAGCTACAGCGGTATACAGCTGTGCCACCATAAGGTCTTTAAGGTAGTCTTAGCCTTATAAATGAGAACCAAGGTCTGTACATTCAACAATGTTTTGTCACAAAGAGGAGCATTAGCCTTGACTTTTTGCATTAGCTTTACATTTTCTTGGATTTATAGGATTAAATGAGATTTTTAGCATTACTGTAAAATATTATGCTTGCTAAACAGTAGCTTAATTTATGTGTAGACTGCACATCAACAGCAAATGGTAGTCCAAAATGTCTTGCAGGGCTGGATCTGATAGTTTATTATAAAAGATGTTCCATTAGAGTACAATTACAACAATTCAAACATGCCATTCTATTTTTTCCATTAATGCTCAATTATGAAAATATGAAAAACAGAATCATTTAAAATGTTATTAGACAACACTTCACATTTGTACTTAGTCTTCCAATAAATAAGTTAAATAAATAGTTTTTGCAGGTTAAGTAGTTTTATATTTCTGAATGTAAGCTGCTTAACAATGTAGTCAAGAGATCTCTAGAGCTATTCATTTTCTGCATGTAGTCAGTCCTTGGAAATTAATAAGCAAAATAGAAATAGTTTATTTTTATTCCTAGTATAAAGTTTGTGGGGGCTGAGGATTTGTTAAAACCATTTACTGATTACATATCACACCATTTTGTGCGCCAGATTCAATAATACTTTCAGACACATTTCAAACAATATCCATGTGAAATAAATAAGGTTTTGTTCCCCACAGATTCTGTCTGTGTTCAACTCCTCACTAACGGATGCATTACACAATGTATTATTCTGCCCAATTTTAGGTGACCCTTTTACACATTTGGGTGAGACAAATTTTGAAGGTACCCACTCCCCAGCATGAAATTATTGGCAGTGTATTGCAACATTTTGTTGATACAGTAATTCTTTATTCACAGTAAAAAAAGGTTGAAGTTTATCTTTTTTTTTTTCTGATTCCAACAAATATTGTTCTTTAACCCATTTTGATAAGAATTTGCCTGGGAAACAGCTTGTTATCACACAAGATAAGAAAGTGAAAAATGCTTGTACCAAATGAAGGTTAAGATAATTCAAGCAACAAAGAGTCCTGTGGCACCTTATAGACTAACAGATGTATTGGAGCATAAGCTTTTGTGGGTGAATACCCAGTTCATCAGATCCATGTGAATGAAGATGAAGAATCCATGCACACATGCGTCTGACGAAGTGGGTATTCACCCACGAAAGCTTATGCGCCAATACATCTGTTAGTCTATAAGGTTGTTTGTTGCTTTTTACAGATCCAGACTAACACGGCTACCCCTCTGATACAAGATAATTCAAATATCTCTGGCTTTTATGTGGATAAAAATTGAAGTGTTTTCAATAATAGAGTTTGTTACCCATAAGAGAATTCACACAAACTTCCAGCATCAGATGCTGAGTGTCAGAGCCGCAGTGAAGTGTTGGCCAAAATTTGTAACTCTAAAGAGCAAGCCTCTTCCAAATCTGTAAATCTGGTCCTGCCATTTGCCCAAGCAGAGCCCATTCCTGCAGTCCTTATTCAGGTCCATTATTTGGTTCTTTCCACTGAAGACAATGAGGGTTTTACTTTAGCAAGGACTGAAATATTGGATATTTAGATATGCAGTACCAATTTGTTGTACTCAAATTTGTAGGTGATATCTACACTCAAAATGTACTGTGATTGTGTGTGCATAGGTAGCTGCTTGCACAAAAAGCAAAATAGACATCAGTCTGTGTGGAAACATCCGGGTGAAATTCTGACCCCTCTAAAATCAATAGCATTGACTTCAACACTGCCAAAATTTCACCCTTAATTTTCACGTACAATCACAATAATTTGTGAGAGTCATAATACACATGGGCCTGGAACCTATCCTTATAGGAATCAAGCCTTCAGCGAAGATAGAACCAGAAAGGGCACCACTGTGCTACCAAAATATTATCATTTGCTCCAAAAGTAGAAGATACAGAAATCACAAGATAATGTTCAAGATTGCTGCATCATGATCTTAATGTAAACAATTTTTTACAGTGTAAGTGTAAAAGAAGAGGCTATGGATGGAAGTATGGACAGAGGCCCAGAAAAGAAGTTTATTTTTCTTGGAGATTTATTTTTTTTAAAATCTGTTATTATTAATGGAGAGAAAAGAATTAATAACAGCAGCACATTTGAAACTATTATTTCCTCTGTGGGCTTTGCTTGGTCTTATTTTATCTGACCCCAATCAGAAAGATATACTATTGTGAGCATTTTTTTAAAAAAAGGTTAAAAACAGAAATCTGATGCGTTTCCACCCCGCCTTTACGATTAATTTTTTTTTTTTAAACACTTACTTTGCTTAAGTTCTCCTTAAACTCACAAAATGAGACACTCCCCGACACAAAAAGAGCAAGGTTGCTGGCCGGTTCAGTAGATTTTCCCCAAACAGTCATGGCACTAGAGCATCTTACTGTGTTAAAAACGGACAGTTTTTTGTTTTGTTTTTTGCAACTGCTTGCAAATCTTTTGCATTCACAAACTCGTGTCTCCATTCACTTTATATTCTGCTAAAATATTGAGAGTCACTTCCTCGCTTTTTGATTGCACATTGAGCTCACTTCTTCTAGAAGCTTTTCTGGTTGCCCTTGAAAGTCTACTTCTAAAAGTATCACCTGCCAAAAAATACAGAATAGGATCTACACAGCTGTTGAGACTAGCTAACCCCCTTGTCACTTGGTAAGTGGCATATACTTTGTCATTGAAGGCACACATTTGTGGAGTCTGAAAATCCAGTCTGGCTCTTAGATTCAATGTCTTCATCACATGAAAGGGAAGATAAGACACGGCAAAGACCATCAACACAATAATAACCAGGTAAATTGATTTTCTCCTAAGAGGAGAATTGTCCAAATCCTTGTAAATCAAAGCTTTCACTATTAGTCCGTAACAACCAAGAATCAATATAAATGGGATGCAGAATATAAACACAGTGGTGCACATGCTGTAAATGAAGTAACTTCTCAGATAATCATCAGTTGTAGTATCATAACATGTAATGGTTTTATTTTTCCTTAGCCCAGTTCCAGAGTAGAACAATATAGGAGAAATCCCAGCTATAACAATGACCCAAACAAGGGTACTGATGTAAACAGCATTCTTTTTCTTCAGTCTCCCAAGTGATTTCAAAGGATACACTACCCCTGTGTATCTGTGCACACTGATGCAAGTCAGAAACAAAATGCTGCCATACAGGTTCACATGGAAGATGAACCTTTGCAGTTTGCACATGATATCTCCGAAGATCCAGTCAGTTTTATTGAAGTAATAAAAGATGAGGGCAGGGAGTGTCAAGACATACAAGAAATCAGCTAATGCCAGATTAAACATGTAAACTGAGATGCCACTCCAAGGCCTCATGTGGAAGACAAACATCCAGATCGCCACACTATTGCCCAGGAATCCAGAGATAAAGACTAGAATGTAGACAGTGGGTAGGTAATAGAACTGGAAGCCGGTTTTGGTTAGGGAACATTTGGTAGTGGCATTTCCCAGAGTCCAGCCAGTGTTTGACAGAATGTTGGTTTCAGTCCCATTCAAAACAGCTGAAAAGAGGACTTCAGTCATGATCTCTCCACTAAAGTCAGACAGGTCTGGGGCTAAAGCAGCAACTGTCTCTGGGGGGACAAGAAAGCATCTAAAACAAAAAGGCAAAGAAAGACCCAGTTGGAACCTAGAATTTTTTGTTGTTGCTTTTATTCAAACATTGTCAGATGAAAAATCCATGTACACTTTTCAATTTTATGCATCAACCATTCAATTATTTTTCTCTACGCAGTTTAGGTTAGCACAGGGCATGAACTTTTTCTATCAAATATTTAAACTTGCCAAGTGTCACACTTGGACATGCAGCAAAGAGTTACAGATCCAGACTAACACGGCTACCCCTCTGATACTTGACACTTGGACATGAAACAGGCACCCTCCCTCACCCCCAATGAAGACTGCCAGCATCCCTGCTAGAATTTAACACATCCAGATGGGCTGCTGGGAGTCAACAGGGTCCCGCTACAGATCCTTCTCCTCCTCCCTGCCACCAGGAGCTACGGTACAACAGGGAGGTCTTCAGGGAGCCAGGCGAACTCACCTCTCCCTCCCTTGTTACTCCCCTTGCTAGACCCCAGCTGACATGAATCTGGCATGAGCAAAGAGGAAACAATGAGGGTAAGGAGGAAGTGGCTGCTGCACCAGTGCCCCAAGGATGGCCATCAGGGGCTGTCAGTGGTTGATGTGGAGATGATGGAATGGGGGTACAGACTGCATTGGGAGTAGAAAGGGGCAGGAACTGAAAGAGGGAAATGAAGCAGGCAGGAGCCAAAGTAGGGGAAAGGGGGGGGGGAGAGAAAGACACACAATGGAGGGATTAGGAACTGGCAGAAGAGGGGCTGACTGTGGCAAGGGCGGTAAGGGTGTCATAGAAGGGAGCAGGGGCTCAATAGAAGAGGGAGAGAATGGGCCCAAAGGGGACAAGCTGAAGGAGGCTAACGGGGAGAAGAGAAGGGCAGACTAGGGGAGGCTAAAGGGGGCAGCGGCAGAAGAGGGAGTCTGCTCCAGGTTCCCGCCCAAAGCAGTGATTTATATTGCCCCCTTGGGGTGAGCCTCCCCTCCCCCGGGCAATCTCGCAGAGCTTCCGCTCTTCCATCCACCTCAGGCTTCGGGCTACCCCCAACCCCCGCCCCCGGGGGCCCTTTAAGCGACCCCCTGCCCCGCAGCTCCCTCCACCTGCCCCGGCCGCCCGGCTACCCCTGGCACCTTCTCCCTCCGCGGGGAGGACCCAGAGTCCCGGCCGCCGCTGGGGCAGGCTCCCGTCTCGGCGCACGGGGCAAGCCGTGGCGGGCTTGGGGCAGCCGCGCCAAACTTGTGGGCGCTGCCGGTGCCGCCCCGCGTGAGCGCGCCGGGGCAGGGCGAAGCAACGGCCGACTTGCCCCGGGCACCGCCGCGCTCCCTGGGCGAGCCTACCTTCCCGGCAGCTCCGCGGGTCCGCTCCTCGGAGATCCGGCCCCCGCCCTGCCGCCGCCTGCTCAGCCGCTCCGGAAGGCAGGAGAAGGGGCGCCCGGAGGGCGGCATGTGCCTCTCACTCCCCGCGCCGGCTGGGAGCGCAGGTCCCCGCCGTGCCACCTTGAAGGCTCGCCGCAGCCCCGCTCGGCACTAGGCGAGGGCGGAGGGAGCAGGAGGCGGGAGCGGGCTGAGGAGCAGAGTTCAGCCTCCTTAGGCGGCGGCAGAGCCGGGAGTGGCCGCCACCCACTCAGCCCCAGCCCAATCGCGGCTCCGCTCCGGCCCCCCTCGGCTCCAAGCCCGGGAACAGGGGACGGAGCGCAGCACGCAGCAGCGGCTCCGGGAGAAGCTGCTTTCTGACGGGCGCGTGTTAGCTCAGCTCCATGTACCCTCCCTTCTGCCACCCAGAGCGCTTTTTGGGGGTGGAAGAGGGGGAGAGAGATAGCAGGGAAGGATCCAGCAGTTATAGTTAGTTTCCTTGACCAGCTGGCTGTAGCTTTCAGAAGTGGGAAGGGAACGCACCGCCTAGCGAAGTTCCTGACACCCAGAGAGTTGTTCTGCTACAAACAACAGCCATCCCTACAGATACAGATACAGAGCTGCACATAGTCGGAAACCCCGCGCAGTCACATTTACAGAGATAGTTACACGCAGAGACAACCCCCCCC